CACCAGAAGACGACGGCGGATTCCTCTTGACCAGCTGTCGATTGGATTTACTGGAAGATTCATGTTGACGCTGTTTTCGAGGCAATCTCCTTCGATTCCAGTGAAAAGGTGCTAAGCTTTTGTCCGTCATATGACGGACGAAAGCTTAGCACCGGAATCGAAGGAGATTGCCTTAGCATGAATGCCAGTAAAGCCAATCGACAGCTGGTCAAGAGGAATCCGCCGTCGTCTTCTGGTGGAACTGACCTTCGAATCTCTTGCACTCGAAATGGAAGTAAGCTCAACAATAACACCCAATACCACCCATGTAGCAGATCTGAGCAAAAGCTCAATCTTTAGGTGTGATCAACTTTCGAATCTATTCTTCATACACTTTCACTCGAAATGGAAGTAAACTGAATAATTATGAGCCAAGAGATTCCTCGAAACGTAACGTTTTTTCCTGCATTTATGACCACTCGAAAAGGCATAACAATGAAGTTGTACACTTCTTTTCCACATTCAAACATGAGTAATTATAAAAGGCCCAAAAAGTTCAGAATAACCCTAAATGAAATCGAGCCTCATTGTCAGCTCGAGGCCACGTCTTTATGAAGCATACTTATTCAACTCAGCAATCCAGCATAATTTCATTTCTGTCTCATACACACGCTCTGAGTATGCAGATTCCGTTTCAGGCAACCTTTCCAATGCTCTCTATTGTACATCGACAACCCGATCAGCATCCCCTAGCTTGTGGCCTACACGCTCTTGCACGCAACTGACCATGCGGCTTAATTCTCGCCGGATCAGTCAGCCCGACACGAATCTCACCTTTACAAACTCCGCCTCGGCTTCGGAGAACTTGCCCTCGTCCTCCAAATACATGGCATGCTTATAGTGCACCTCGGCCAGTCGCTTGTCCTGCACCGGACCGAGTCCGGCTGGAAGAGTGGCGGTCGATGAGGCCGTGGCTGTCGGTCCGGCCATTTGGCGAGCCAGATCGAAGGCGAACTCGAATGCACAAGCGTCCACGGCGAGCTCAATCGAGGAGTCCAGCTGGCCCAGACGGTTGAGCAGACGGACGGCCGACTCGCCGCCTCCACTGCCGCTGCACAAATGTCGAGCCCACAGGTAGGCGACCTGACGGCGCAACTCGTTCGGATGCTCCGAGCACAGACTCGCCACTCTGTAGGCATCCTCCCATTTGTCACGAATTCGGTACATGTTGACCAACGACTTCCAATCACCGGCCTAGATTTGAGAAACGTTCAAGATGCAGTGAGTTAGTTGATTACGTGGGTCGCGTGGCAATGAGAAAATGAAGAAAAACTGGGTTTCGAAGAGTCCCGTGATAGATTGTGGTTGTAGTACCTTTAATTTCGTTTGAAGAGGTAAGTCCTATTCTTGACGGGAATACGTCGAAATGAAAAAGATAGATGCTTACTCATCAAATAGCCTTTACACAAGAAGTGTTTTGGCAGACCAGTATCCGCGACGTAATATAATTAATTAATAAAAATATAAGATAAATAGCATATGAAGAAACTCCGCACTCATCTTAAAACTACTTTGTACC